TCATTTAAAATGTAGGGATAGGGGGGATTTAATTAGCCCAATGCCTGGCACATTGTATGCACTCAATAAATATTTGTTGGGTCTTGGAACTCTCAAGAAAAAGGTCACTTTTGCTATTACTACTAATTTATGAGCATATCAGTGATTCCTGTGCTGATCATATTGACACTGAACAGGACTTCAGAAAAGTTAACTCATAACTTACAGGGATGTAGCAAGAGAATTCAGATTTCCAACAACTCACCTATTTTGAACATACTCACTATTGATCTAATGTTCTAAGGTTGTGATTTCACATATAAAACTCTGGGATTCTAAAGATGTGAAAAACTGCAGCAATTACCTGGACATTTCCACCAGAAGGAGCGCACGTGAGTGTGTGTGTGTGTGTGTGTGTGTGTGTGCGCGCGCGCGCGCGTGTGTGTGTGTATAAGAAAGACTTAATATAGAGTCCCCAGTCCCCATTCTTTGTGTAAGCTACTTAAGGGAAAGGATATTATCTTTTAATTATTATCTCTCCAGCAATTATTATCATTGCTAGGTCAATCTCAGAACTATACATAAATTATGAACAGTTTAAAATCCTGTTAAAATAAGTTAAAAAATACTCTCCCTCAAATGTTTTTACTGATTTATAAAATTTTCCTTAGTTGTTGCTGTACTTAACATTTCTTACCATTTGTGATGATGACAGTGAACAGAAAAAAATGAATACACATAGCGCTGATATTTTACTAAAATTAATACAGCACTAATTTGAAGTCCTAATTTAATTTTTAAGTAAAAATCTGACGAGTGTCATTCCCTGAAGGCCAGATCTTTGGAAGCCCAAAACCTGTGTGAATTTACCCAGCTGCTTCCAGGCCTTGCGTATTTCCTTGTTTTTCCTCGTTTTAGGTGCTTTGATTTTTTTTTTTAAGAAAGATTATTTTTACACTGAAATAAAACACAACTATTAACCACTAGCCTCAAGGAAAAAGGAAACTAACATACCTACAGCTTAAAATGTTTCAATACTTTGCCTCTAAAATCTTATGCATCCTTTAGAAGTTGGGAAAATAAAACCACATCCTGCCAAAAAAAAAGATTGAAGACAAACTGTCATGATTTCAGAGAAGAAGAGCAGAAGTGCAGGTGTTAATACTAGAAAGTGGGCCCGTAAGTAACATGGTACCTTCAAAACAGCCACTATTTCATAACAACATCTTCTGGCTTTTCTCCTTGAAATGATTTAGAATCCTTTCTTGGGCATGGGTGCCTCTACATTGCCACCATTACCATATGAGCAAGGGTGTTGCAAAATGTTTTCTGCAGGGTACCCAGCCAAAAGTGAAACAAGTTACTGCGGAAAGAAAGGCCATTTATAGAACATAATTTGCTTACACCAGTGCCAGGCAATAACAGAAAGAGAATGCAGAGAAGTTCTCTTTCTTTACCTTTTCTTTCTTGGAGCGACTCTGACCTGGAGAGCCATGTCACGTCCTATGTCAACGAGGTGGTGAGAGCCACGCTTCTTATGTGGACGACATCTGGAAGAAGAGGCAGTTGTCACCTCGAGCTTTTCCATGGCTCTTGAAGGCTAAGCGTGTGAGTCAATAGTGCAGGATGATTGGATTATACACAATGAGACAGAAGCCATCTGTGAGCCACGAGTGAGCTGCTGAGTGCCAAAATGAACATCCTTATTAGACAAGTGAGCTCTCAGGCCATTTGTAGTTTGGTCAAATTTGAAAGACGCGTTGATTGTTTTTAGACAGTGCTGCGAATAGGCAGGGACTTGGAATTCTCCCGGGCTGCATGAGTAATTACTGTGTCATACTTAAATCAGAAACACGGGTTTTCAGTTAGGAGGGTTGGAGATTGTCTTCAAAGGACAGTGCTGCCATTCATGGCGTAGCATGCTCTGTCTTCTGTGTTTCATTCCCAAGGACTGCAGACGTCTGGAAAAAGTAATCATTAAACCCTTTTACATCATGGCAAAGGGATATGAAAATTCTGACATTATGTTGGAAAACAGAAAGATTCCCATGCTCTGAAACGATAGCCTCTATACAGTCCGTGCAATGTTTCTAAGAACTGCCTGCATGCAGTCCCGGAGCTCTGAGTCTCTGTGCCCAAGGCTTCAATCCAGATCCAATCTGTCATTGACCACATTTCATCCCTTCATCTTTACTGGCACCTCTTGTAGATGGGAATTGACCTGGATTCTGTGGTCCTTTTCCCACTACAGCATCTTAACTTCTACACAAAGCACGTCCTGCAAATCATATCCCATACATAAAATCATGGTTTTGTTAAAGGTAAAAAACAAAACGTTTTCAGTAAGCCCAGGGCTTAATATTTTTCTTCTGGAAATGTTTTTACCTTTGAGTTTCATAATGCATATTAATAACACTGTCAGTGCTCTTTTATTGATATGCTTTAGACCAGTCCTTTAATCTGTGGCTGCCCTGAGTCTCTGCCTACATGGTGAGTTCCTTTAGAGAAGGGGTCTTTCCTCTGCCTGCTAATAACTTTGTAACAGCTCCCAGTGTCTGCTTCCGATTTTGGCCCGGGTGCACCCTCAGCAAATGTGGATGGACTGTGCAAATCCTGTGCCTCACCCTGTTGGTAACAGCCATGGGCCAGCCTTTTTCCCTAAAGAGGTCAAGGGAGTGAGACCTCCCTGGGAGTGAGGCCTAATCCAGTGCTCATAACAGAACCCGTGCTTCACTTGCTCTACTCTCAACATATTCAGTGTGTTGTGTACAGCTTGGATCCCTTTGGAATCCTCCGGTTCAACAGGAACCACCCAAGATTTATCCTCTCAGGAAGTTGGCACAATACATGGGGAGACAACACTAATTGCACTGCCACCACTCCACTGGATAAAATATTGAAAAGAACGAATTTCCTGTTTTGTTTGTTCATTTATATTGTTCTTTAGATTCCACATATAAGTGAGATCATATGGTATTTGTCTTTCTCTGGCTGACTTATTTCACTCAACATACTACACTCTAGGTCCATCCATGCTGTAGCGAATGGTAAGAAAAATCTAGTTTTATATAAGCACACTAGAAAAACTAAATGGCCAGTAAAGTATATTAGGTGGAGATTGTGTGTATGTGAGTGTGGTTACAACAATAACCATCTTTTATTTCAATGAGTATTATGATCTAGTTTGAAAATAAGTCATGGTAGAGAGACAAACCATACATATTCAATAGATCTACTTCTGTTTCCCAAGTTTGCCATTAGATTGATAAAATATGTACATGTGTACATAATATATATATATATATATATATGTGTGTGTGTGTGTGTGTGAAAATATATATATATATATCTGTAAGTACATTTAATTCTTTTTATTCAGCACACTTTTATGGAAGTTAAGGAATAAATAAAATATGAAAAATTCTTTCCATCCTTGGATTCTGAATTGTGCTCCTTTACATTTAGTCATGTTTTACAGTATTTTCAGGTCCTTTGTATAATTTGTATCCAGAGTTCTTTTTGATAAAACCTAACTTATCTACTTGGTAGAGTCACGCAGAAACTTCAAGGTTTTTAAGAGCTATTTTCAAGACAATAGTACATAAGTTAGACCTTCCTGATAAAATTAGAAGAGAAAATGAATTCAAGTCCTCAATCAGGAAACCTAAATCTTTGGGGCTGGATAGGTTTCCACATTCAGAAAATTTTAAATTTTAGACTGGTAACAGGATTCATATAATATATTATATCACATATTCAAGAGGTCTGGAACTTTATTCTGTATTCAAACACATTGTTTGAGTGGGAAAATATATGAATTTTCACTTTAAGTGGCACAAATAATAAGTGTAAATAATTTTATGTCAATTCAGGTAAGGTTCTGCCACCAAACTAGGTCAGATCAAGTAATATTCTACCATCAGAATAGTGATAAAAATAGTTTTAAAGCTTTTTAGGTTTTGGCTTCATAGATAATTGTGGCCAAGTACAATTTTAATCATAAGAATCAAAGATTGGTGTTGATGACAGAACTGCAGATACAATTTTAGCCCCAAGACTTCTAATCACTCTGCCTGGCTCCATGCCAGCAAGCTGGGCTTCTTACCCATTTAGAGTTTGAGAAGAGGTCAAGATCGTTTCAGCCCCAAGACCTCTATAAATATAATTTTAAATGATACGATGATGACGATGATGGTGATGATGATGCTGTTTTAACAAAATCAGTTATTCATAAGAAGTAATAGAGCGAAATTCCTTTGCCCCCCCAGTGTCAGGGTTAAATAAAACCAGTTCCCATAATGCTTTCTGCTCCTTCTATCATTGCCTGCTTTGCCTTGGAAGCCTGGCACTGTATATTTTTAGATTTGCTGATTCTCTTTAACCCATTTCTCCCATGCATGGCCTTCTACCACATTTGTTGTTCTCTGCCTTTTTGAGATTAAAATATAGTACTCTATAGGATATCACTAAATCATAAAAAATATTAAGAACAAACAGGCTTTATTTTATTTCAGGGAGCTATGGAAATACCAACCAAAGTTGAGGTAATTTCTTGTTTGTCTATGCCCTTAATGGAATTTCCTGTAGGTTTGGGCCCACATTAAAAAGAGGATATATGTATACTTGTATAATTACATACCTATTTCATGGTTTCAGATTTATTGAATAATAAATTATGTTTTGAAAGATAAAGTCACAGTAAGGGCCAATACCTCTAAATAGTAATAGCACAGAATAAAAGAACGATTGGTATGGGCTAGTGTTTATGAATAGCCAAACTCTTATTAGAGAGCAATTTCATTACTTTCTCTCATAAACCCAAACCAGGGTTACTAATAACTGCAAATATGAACACAAATTTCAGTCTCTCACTTTACGTACTTTTAAGTCAGTTGACCACAGTTCTATGCCTTGAAATGGGCCATACAGAGTGGAAGAACATTATGAGGTTATAAAAAAAAAAAAAGCTGGAGAGTACATACATTTTGTCAACTTACAATAATGCCTGGGAAAGAAACCGGCAAGTGAGGGCAAATTCGGTATTGTGGTCACAGAGTAAAAACAAAGAGTGAATGACAAATTTAGAGTCCTAATTTGAAGAATGGGAATTGGATTTTCAATAGGAAGAGAATATAGGGTGGAGGGAAGGGGAAGGGGAGGGCATTCTAAATAAGAGAAACATAAAGCACAAAGGAAGTGAGACCAAGCCAATGGGATCTGCGTTGCTAGAAACATGAAACTAAGGCAGTGAAGGAATATTGATTTGTGGAGGCCTCAAAGGACAAACAAGAGAATTGTATTTTGGTTCAAAATAAACAGCACTGGTCTTGAGCAGCACACGACAGCTAAAGTCAGCATATAAAAAATTATTCTAATAGCAGTATAGAATAAAAGACTACAGAGAGGACATTGCTTGGTCTATTGGAAAGGTCTTGTGATTTGATGTTTAGCGACTTAGAATAAGTGAGAAGAATTAAGATTTTTTAAAACACTGCGGTTTGAGCTCTAGCTGGGTAGCAGAGTTGGTTAGAGCATCCAAGCATCATCCAGACACACCAGTTGATTCCTGGACAGGACACATATAAGAATTAACCAATGGATGCATAAATAAATGCTATCCCATTTATTTATGCATGCATTCTCTTTCTCTCTCTCTCTCTTTCTCTCTCTTCTTTCTCTCTCTCATTCGCTCTCCCTTTCTCTCTCTCTCTTTGAAATCAATATTTGTTTTTAAAAAGGTCCCAATTGAGGTCAGCAGCATAAGTTTAAAAAATAAATTAAAACATCACGACTACAAAATGGGCAGTCTTTATGATGGGGGCTGAAAAAGAAAAAAAAGAAAGAAGAGTAAAACTAACTTTAAGATTTTCACAACAATAAAGTAAGGCAATTATGATGCCATTGATAAGAATGGTGAGGTTAAGAAAATAGGGGATACTCTTAGAATGGCTCTTATGTATAAGATGAAAAATAACAAATGTTGGAGAGGTTGTTGAGAAAAAGGAACCCTCATTCACTACTGGTGGGAATGTAAACTGATGCAGTCATGATGAAAAAACAATGTAGAAGTTCCTCAAAAAATTAAAAATACAGTTACCTTATGACCCAGCAATCCCTCTTCTGGGTATCTACCTGAAAAAAAAAGTGTGAAAATTCATATAGATATCTGTTCATTGCAGCTTTATTTATGGTAGCCAAGACATGGAAACAACTTAAATGTCCTTTAGCAGATGATTGAATAAAGAAAATGCAGTACATATATATAGTGGCATCCTACTCAACCACAAGAATGGATGAAATCCTGCCATTTGGGACAACATGATAGATCTTGAGAGTATTATGCTCAACTAAAGAAGTCAGACAGAAAATGACAAGAGCCATATGACTTCACTCATAAGTGGGATATAAAACAGAAAGCAAAAAAGAACAAACTCATTGACACAGATAACAATATGGTGGTTACCAGAGGGGAAGGGGTTAGGGGAGAGAATGAAGAGGGTAAAGGGCTCCAATATATGGTGATGGAATGAAATTAGACTATAGGTGGTGAGCACACAATGCATTATGCAGGTGATGCATTATAGAATTGTACACTTGAAACAT